ACCTAACCCTAACCCTAACCCTAACCCTAACCCTAATAACCCTAATAACCCTAATAGGTATTTTTCTAGCTATAGTTGTAAGTGCTTTTATAATACTAGTTATAGCTATCTTTCTAGTAGCTGCTTTTATAATTATAGTAGCTTTGGAAGGTGTAGGTATTTTTATAAGGTCTTCTTTTTTAATAAGAGAAGAAGTTAAGATATTATTGTATATAGGTGTAGTAAGTTAGTATAGATGTTATTATATATAAATAAATAGGAGGAAGAAAAAAAGAAAGAGAAAAAAGAGGAAAAGAGGAAAAAGAAAGGAAAAGGGAAAAAGGAAGAGAAGGAGGGGATTTATAGTATATAAATTAGATAGGTATTTTTATTAAAGGGGAGAAAAAGTATTAAAAAAGAATTTAATTCTAAATTTTTTTATTTCTTTTAATAATTTTTTATTTTTTTATTTTTTCTTTTAGGAATAGATAATATTAATTAGCTATAAGTAATAAAGTTATTATTTTCTTTTTCTTTTTTTCTAAAATTCCCTACAGTTTTAGTAATAGTATTATTCTCTATATATTAACTATACTATATCCTTATAAGTTTATACTATAGGATATCTAAATATTTTATAGTCTCTATTAGAATAATATAATATTAAATATCAATTTAACTACTATATTAAATTTTTCCTTTTTAGTATTATTGGATTCCTTACTTTAATGTGGTTTGAATGATACTATTTCTATGTTGTATATTATCTTATAACCTAGGGTATAGCTGGAAACCTTTTCTAAAGTTGACCTTTTCTCTAAGTCTAAGTCTAACTACGTTTACTGATTATAATATATCTAGTATTTTATTAAATAAAAAGCTCTTAAGCTTTTCCCTTAGTATATAATTATATTTAATTATATATTAGTTTTTTTATTTTAATTATAATTTATTTATTATTATTATTTTATTAATTATATTTTAAAAATAATTATAAAATATATTTTATATTTAAAAATTAAAAAGCTTTATATATTTATTTTAAAATAGCTAAAAGCTAATATTATTAAACTTAATAATTTTTTTTTTTTTTTTTTTTTTTTTTTTTTTTTTAAAAAAAGTTTATTAATTTACTACCTCCCTCTCCCTCCCTCTCCTTCCCTCTTTCTATTCTATTATATAAGAAGTTAATTTTATTAATATATAATCTTAATTTAATTTTAGTAAAATATAGATAAAGTTTTACTAAAAATAATAATATTTAAAAAAGCTTATATTTAAACTTATATATATAATTTATTTTAATTTAATTACTTTATATTAAAAGTAATAAGCTATTATATTTAAAAAAATATTATAAAAACTTTATTATATTATTTAGTTATATAGATATTATTTATAATTTTTAATTATATTTTTTTTATTATTTATTTAGATAATTATAAGAAGAGAATAAGGAGGAGGTAATAAAAGAAGTAATAGTAGTAGAGGGGGTAATAATAGTAAAGAAAGTAGTAGTAGTAAAGAGAGTAGTAGTAATAATAGTAGTAATTTATTAATATTAAGTAATATAAGTAATAATAATTTATAAAAGATAAAGAGATTATTTATTTTTATTTTTATTTATATTTTTATTTATATTTTTATTTATTTTATTTTATTTTTTTTTATATTTTTTTTTTTTATTTTTTTTTTTTATTTTTTTTATTTTTTTCTTTCTTTTTTCCTTTTTTCCTTCTTTTCTTTTTTTTTTTTTTCCTTTTTTACTTTCCTTATTTTTCTTAGCTATAATATAAGACCTAAAGATTAAATTAAATTAAAATTCTAGTAGTATATAGTAGTAGGTTATAGTAATAGGGGGTATAGTAATAGGGTATAGTAGGTGTAGGGTATAGGTTTAGGGTTTCTTTTTTAGTGTTAGTTAGGTTTAGTTAGGGTTAAAAGTTTTTAATTAATTAGTAAGCTAGCTTAGGTAGAACTAATAATAATAGAAAAGTTATCTATATAGAGCTAGTTTATATAGGTACTTATATATGATTATATTATAATTACTATTAAATAATATCTAGAAATATATTAAAGAAGTTTAAAGATAGAGAGAAGTTTACTAAAAAAGCTTAAGTATAAAAGAAGTTAATAAAAAATAATAAGAAGTAATAAAAAAAAGAAAGTAAAGATATTAGAAATTAGAATTTAATAAGGAGATAAGGAATAGGTAAATAATAGTAAAATTAAAAAGTTTTTTTTTAAAATAGAAAATAAAGTTATTAGTAATAATAATTTATAAAGAAAAAAAGAAGGTATTTATTATATAAATAAAAAGTAATAAAAAGTAAAACTAATAATTTTTAGATCTAATATTTATTAAAATTAATTATTACTAGTTTTAATTAAAAGTAGAACTCCCCTAGGTATAATTAGTATATATAAGAAGTACTTTTAATATATACTTTCTAGAAGAGAGAATTAACCTTTACTATTATAAACTACTAATATATAACTTATAATTATTAAGACCTCTATATTTATTATAATTAGTAGAGCTTCTTTCTAGTAATAATAGTATTATTATTATAAAAGTATTTATTATAATAGAACTTTATTATATAATCTATTTTATTATATATATTTTATATATTAAGAGGATTTTTTATTTATTATATATATTTTATTATTTTTAAAATAATATATATATAATATTTTAATTTTAATATTTAATAATTTAATTATATTAGTTAAATTTAAATAATTATAAAAGACTTTAAAATAAAATCTATAAATATAATTAAAT